AAACTTCTCTTATTTCCCTTTTAATTAAAATAAAGATCTGGTATGTCAGCCATACATATTGGTAACTTCCTAGCACAAGGATTGTGACCATATAGACCCCCCCCCCCCCCACTGTGTAAATAATGGACCTCTCAGTACTACTTTAACCATACAACATAGAACAATGTCATTAAATGGCAACACAATTATAATCTTTGTTTTTTTTTATTTGAAAAACTGCTTTGACATTGGTCACATACTGTACATGCTGAAGGTGTTAGGATGTTGAGACATACAATACATTCAAGATGTACAGTAAAGTGGTTGTAAACCTCAGATATGAAATATGAACAAAGCAAATCCCTCTGTAGTGTGTACTTGTCTCAATTAAGAGCACCAAGTGTCATTTCTGTCTGCTGCTTTGTTCCTCTGACAAGTTTTCCTGACACCAAGAAAAAATGGTGACTGGGATGGACATGCAGTAGATTGACAGCCTCAGCTCTGTTCCTGTGAGCTGTGTGAAGGGGGGGGGGTGTCTCTTCCCTCCAATCACCTCTCAGAGCTCTCCTCAGTGATGTAACTTCAGCTCTCCGCCCCTTGCTTTTTAGAGCTGAGAGATACTGTGTAAATTCTGCACTTTGAATGGATGTAGGGGAATTATGGCCATGGATAAACAGGTACAACTCATGTAGAAAGATTTGTTTCACTTCTTTGTATCAACTGAGTTCAGTCACTTCACTGGGTATATGGGAGGGTTTACAACCACTTTAAGCTTTTTATTGGATAGACTAGGTAAAAAGGGTACACTAATGTGAAGAAAAATTTGCTTTTTAAAAAACTAAAATGTTTTTTGGCAGTGATGAAATCTCAAGAGAAAAGCTTGCAGTGTTACAATGCATAGCTGAAAATATTTCGTGTGTTTTTTTACAAGCATTTCTCTATATATTAAGCCGTATCACAAGTACTAAAGCAGATAACAAAACTGCAGGAAATGTCAGCTGAAGGGTACTGTACACGCTAATGCCTATAAAATATCGAGCCTCAACATGCTTCCTTTTTGTACAAACGCATCCCATTTGGTTTAAAGGGCCATTGAATGAGGCCATGCAGTGAAATATACTGGCAGTATTTTTGGCATCACATCTCTACATTGCCATTACTTGTGAATTGGAACGTATGATAGATGCATGTGTGTTAGAAGGGTGGTATTCAACCCCATATCCTGTCCTACTATACCAGCCTTTGTTTCCATTAGGCTTTATCCCCTTCATGTATGCATGCTATCATAGGACTTTAGGTAGTTTGGTTTCCAAAGGTCACACTCAAATGGTCAATTCCTGAAACAGTACAAAGAGCAAAGGTAATCTGCAAAGAGTTATAACTACTTGTAACCTATCATGTTGTTGTTGGATCACTCAAAACAAGAGTCTTGATTGGTTTTCATTTGTCTAAGTGCAGCGGGTAGATTTAGAAAAACTGGAGCACTCAGAATCTGGTGCAGCGGTGCATGGTAACCAATCAGCTTCTAACTTCAGAATGTTCCATTAAGCTTTGGCAATAAAACCTGGAAGCTGATTGGTTTCTATGTAGAGCTGTGCCTGATATTGTATGTTTCAGTTTTAGCAAATAACCCCCAGCATACCTTCTGAATGACAAGCCTGATAGCGAAATCCTGAGAGCTCCATACATTGCTCTCACACAACCTTATTGCCTAACCTCTTCTTAGAAATGGTTGTACAGCACAAAGGCATACAAAGAACTACGACACATCCAACCTGAAATATATGAAAACCTACATCTATACCTAAACACCTGCAAAGTATGGTGTCATTCCTGACACTCCTAATACACAGTATTATATTTTCCAGGTGCACTTTACATTATAATTTTGAGCCTGGTGAGACAGTTGGATCATATATATATTGCTCCTGAAAACTATCATTTGTTACATATTTGCAAATAAAGAGGAAGAACGGTTAGTTCTACAGTGTGGATAAAGTGCTTGAACCCATCATTCTGTGAGCACACAAATGTGTTCAGTATTTATTAGAATTGTGTTTATATATATTTAATTTTTTTTTCCCCCCAGACTCAGAAGTTCCTGCATTAAAGTGTAATAAAACCCACATCATAAAAAATGTACATGCTGTATTACATGCTGTTCACACTAATGCATTCACTATGGGATTCGTTTTCTGTATTCTGCAAAAAACCTGGTTGATCCTGCTGTTCTGTATCTCCCCATTCTGTCCATGTCCCCAATGTTGTTGGGGATTTTACAGAGCAGTGTTGGCAGCTACTGTACATGCTCAGTTTTTAGTGAGTTTCTATGCTGAGCATTTCCTCCCTATCACATCTTAGCAGCCCGTGTGACTATAGAGTCACACATGTGGTTGTATACACAGTGGTAAATTACATCCCACTCCCTCCACCTCCATGCCCACTAAGCAGCTAAACACAATGAAAGTGGATATTTCATCTTGATTAACAGAGGCTTCACCTTCCTTTTATTCTAAGACACAGGCTGGAGGGGGAGATACAGCCTGTGACTGGCAGAAAATTGCCCGCACAATGTTATTGCCAAAAAATAATAAAAATTTGATTTTAAAAATTTAGTTGTACGATGATTTAAAACAGTTTATTGATATTATTAATTTATTTTTACTCTGTACCCCAAAGGCTATTTTTTTTTAACGTGACCAGCAGCTGAAGACTTGAAGCTCCTCCTGCCACTGTTTCCCTACAGACAGGCTGGGAAAGAGCTGGGTCATGTGACAGCTTGGTTTTGATTAGGAAAAAGGTACTTAGATGGGTTTTTTTAATAATTTCAGTGCCATCATTCATGTAAAGAAAGAGAAGGGATAATGTAAATTAAAGAGAGTGTGTTCAGTATCACTTTAACTAAGTCACCTGCATAGTTCCCATTTAGTATGATAATGGCATGGGTAGATGTGTTACACATGGCATAATTTTTTACTTTTATCCACTCAAACTATGAGGTCTGTATCAGTTCCAAGAGTAAGTAGTGATTGGCTACCTGTGAAGACAGCATGAATTGCCTTGACTGCCTATAGCTGACCACAGACACGGCATGGTTGTTATTTGTGCACATACATAGTATATATATACAGTAGATCAATAGTTTTTAGAATTGTTTTAAACCCCTTTAACCCTTATCTCAGGGTAAAGCTAAATCTGCCTGACAGACTCTCTACCCCCAAGACTGATCTGCAGGGGTTTTCTACTGCAAGCTGAAGGTATCCGTAGGCTTCCCCAAAGTCACCAGATCGTGACAAAACCGTTAGTTTTGGGGGATGAGTATGTCATGTCTCTGGATACCATTACTTTTACCATAAGTATGATCTGATGTTACTTCTCTCCCATCCCCAAATAGTGCACTTCTGAATTTAAATACCTTTAAATCACATCTGCTAAATTCAAATTATATTGGTATACTTGCTACATATATAGGATATGAACGGCTAAAGCAATAATGTAAAATGCACATGTTTTCTCTTAATGCACTGTTGTTCATGACAATGTTGTAAATAATTGTTTATTTAAAAGAGAATTTGTTCAGGCCATACGGAAATGAACAACAGCATTCCATGTGAAAAAGAATTAAAAACTCCCTCTGGCAGAGGCCATGTGATCTAGAACAGGCCACTGGCACTGTGGAGGGTTAATGTAAAATAATAATTATAGTTATAAATAATAATATTAATATGCACTCAAATGTTAAAATTTGTAATATTGTTTTTTTGTAAGTTTATTATTGAACTGTACAGGGTTAAACATTAATCAAATATTTCAGTGGTTTAGTGTTACTTTTTTTAATAAAACTTTGTCTCCTGTGCCACTTTTGGATTGAAGAGTAATTGTCTACCTCAATATATTTCAAGTATCTGCGAGTGAAAAGGAAATCTGAGGCAAATCAATATTCAAAACCATTTTACCATACATTGTACTGGATGCTATTCAAAATATTACCATACTATTAAACTTTTCTTTGATATAAAATTTTATTTTGTGTGTGTGTTTTTTTCTTTTTGTGATTTCAGTGGTGTAAAGCTAATCATGGACTTAACGTATTGTATAGTTGACCTATCAAAAATATCCATTGAGCATCTGACAATACCAAACATCATATAAAGTATATCTAAACTAAAGTGTTTTGTTGTTGTTTTAGAATGGTTAAAACTCTTCTATCCACTTAAAGACCAACCCTTTTCTGGCACTTTTTGTTTACATGCAACAATCTTTTTTTTTGGTAACACATTTCTTAGAACCCCCAAACATTTTTTTAAAGCAGAGGCTCTAGAGAATAAATTGGTGGGTTTTGAAATTTTTTATGTCACATGGTATTTGCTCAACAGTTTTTCAGATGTAATGTTTTGGGGAATATGTTTTTAATGATTTTAATGCAAAAAACACACAATAAATAACACAGTTTTTGTACAATATAAAAGATGATGTTACATCAAGCAAATAGATACCAAACATGTTATGCTTTAAACTGCAATGGTGACAAACAACTTAAATTTTACTATCCATAGGCGACGCTTTAAAAGCCTTTACAGGTTACTACTTTAAATTTACAGAGGAGGTCTGGTGCTAGAATTACTGTCCTTGATCTGATGTTTATGGTGATGCCTCACATGTGTGGGGCGAACGCTGTTTGCGTGTGTGCAGGGCCAACGTGTGCGTTTTCCTTTGCACTTTAATTTTTTTTTTCACACTGTCACTCTAAAAAAATTTTTTTTAATCACTTTTATTGCTGTCACAAAGAATGTAGACATCCCTTGTGACAGCAAAAGGCCTGTGACAAGGACTATTTACGGAGGGATCTGGCGTCAATAAGGCCCCAAATCTCTCCTCTGCCCTTATAAGAATTTGATCACTCCAAGTAAACCGGAAGCAGGGGCAGACTGACAACTCATGGGTCCCCCGGGCAATAGGGGATCATGGGGCCCCTGTGTGCTCGCCCACACTCAGACCACACCCAAAAAAGCCTATGAAAGGTACCAGGGGCATCCCACAGGGCCCCTTACTGACCCCGGGCCCTCGGGCAGTGCCCGAGTTTCCGAATGGTCAGTTTGCCCCTGACTGGAAGTAATGACAGGTCATCGCTTCTGGGTTAATTTTTAATAGAATTCAACAAAGCCGTTCCATGACCAGCTGGCAGTAGCGCTAGCTGGTCAATCAAGACTCCCGGTGGGACAGGAGATCCCAATAAATCTGCAGAAGGCGAGGGGAGGGGGGGGGGAAGTCCCCTCCCGCTGCTTGTAATGGCAGTCAAGTGGCTAGTTAGCCGCTCCAATTGCTATTACAAGAAAAACGACCATCAGCTCTAAAAAAGGTACCTGGATGATGCCTGCATCCCAGTACAACCACTTGAAGTCGAGTGACGTACTGGGTATGTGACTGATCGGCAAGTGGCTATTAGGAACTGAGGGAAGAAGTCCCCACTTAGACAATTGAGTGCCCATTTAATAACTTTCCCCTCACCTCCTGTTTTGGTGACATCTGTGAGATTTTGGATTTGCAGTCACTGTCCAAGTGAAAAAGGGCAGGCGGTAAAAAAGAGAGAGAGTAAATTACCCCAGAGGGGACACAGATAGCAAAGAGGAGGTTTTAGCACTTCCACTCTCTTTCCAAAACTTTAGATACGATTTAACCAATTTTCAGCTTTCAGTGCTGTTGCACTTTGAATGACAATTGCTCGGTCATGCAACACTGTACCCATATGAAATTTTTATCATTTTTTTCACACAAATAGAGCTTTCTTTTGGTGGTATTTAATCACCAATGGGGTTCTTATTTTTTGCACTGTAAATGAAAAAATAGCAAAAAATGTGAATTAAAGGTTTTCTTTGTTTCCATTATAAAATTTTGCAAACAGGTAATTTTTCTCCATCACTGATGGGCATTGATGAGGATGCACTGATGGGCAATGATAGGCAGCACTGATGGGCTCTGATAGGCAGCATTGATGGGCACTGATGAGGTGACACTGATAGGTAGCACTGATGAGGTGGCACTGGTGGGCATTGATGAGAAGGCAAAGATTACGCACTGATATACAGGAATGATGGTCACTGATAGGCGGCACTGATGGGCACTGATTGGCAGCACTGATGGGCTGCACTGACTGGCGGCACTGACTGATAACACCAACTGGAGGCACTGACAGATGGGCACTACTGGGCACTGATGGGCGGCACTGATGGGCACTGATGGGTGACACTGATGGGTACTGCTGGGTGGCACTGATAATCAGGGCACTGATTATTAGTGCAGATCTCCCCTGTCACATTTGCTGGTTATTGGTAGTACTTTCCTCATTCTGTGACAACGTGAGGAAAGTGCAGCCGATAACCAGCAACTGTATTTACATTGTGATCTGCTGTTTCACTGGACACAGTTGATCACGTGGTAAAAGGCTGCTGTGATTGGCCTTTTACATTATCACGTGATCAGCTGTGTCCGTAGGACACAGCGATCACCAACAGCGCCGAGTGCACACCGCTGGGGGAGCATTCTGCGAGGACATCCATGGACGCCCTCCCAGAACTAGACAACCGTGCTGTAGCCATATTTTGGCTATAGCGCAGTTGGGAAGTGGTTAAGGTATATGTATACTCTAACAGTGAAAACCTTTTATTTTGTCCCTTTTAGTCTGTTGAATATACTGTAGCACCAAGAGTGTTTCATTATAGCTGTTATAAAAGTGCAAGAAAGATTCTTGTTCATGCTGCCAGAAAGTGTTGATGTCTTCAGTTGATTCTATTGTCACAGTCAGGAGTCAGGCTCGGAGACCAGTAGCTATAGCAGTAGAGAGGCTCCACCGAACGGCTGGATACGTACACAAGTATGTCACCCTGGCTGACAACGAGGGCTCATCAGAGGTGTAGGGACAAATACAAACTGGTATTCAGCAAAGCTCCTAATAGTGGAGAATGGTTTGCTGCATGTTAGTACCAGATAGCGCTCCTCAGGATAACTCCACCAGGAGGTGAGCAAGCCGAGGTCCAGTAACAGATATAGGAGGTAGGAATCAAGCATAAGCATAGTCAGTAAACAAGCCAAAATTCAGTGACAAATGGTAGTAGGTTGGGATCAAGTGGAAGCATAGTCAAGGAACATGCCAAAGGTCAGTATTGAGCAGTAGCAGGAGTGCCAACAGCTAGATATTGGCTGGAGAGACAACAATGATCTGGCAAACAGGAAGTGTAAAGGCATGGCCTAAATAGGACATTCATGGCAGGAGCAAGGAGTTCAAGGTGCAAGACAAGCAAGAGAAAGGCAAAATTGTTCTAAGTGATCAAACAGGGAGCTGACCAGCATCTCAAGTGGCTCAACAAAAAGATCCCAGTCCTAACATCTATGCTCTCTGAAGTCCTGTCCTAGGGTGACAACGCATCACTTCCATAAGTACAGTGAGTGAGTGTTGTCACCCTAGCACAGGAAGTATGCTACTGGCAAGATTATCAGGAGAAAATAAAGAAAAATGTCTAAAAATATATATATATAAATTATATAATTACAATTTTTTTTCTTGGGTTTAAATATACACTGCTGAAACAAGCTTTTTTTTTTTTATCAGAGTATAGCATCAAGTCAATTAAACTCTGGGGATATTGATCTGGTCAGTTAAGTACCAGTTAAGTAGTTGGATAGGGCCGTAGAAGGTCCTTAACCCATCAGCAAAACCGGTATCTGCTCCTTTGTGCAAGGAGGAACAGGATGAGCACTGCCAGAGCCCTACAAAATTACCTCCAGCAGGCCACTGGTGTGAATATCTCTGACCAAACAATCAGAAACAGACTTCATGAGGGTGGCCTGAGGGCCCGTTGTCAACTAGTGGGCGCTGTACTCACTGCCAGGCACCATAGAGCTTGATTGGCATTTGCAAATGAACACCAGAATTGGCAGGTGTGCCACTGGCATCCTGTGCTTTTTAGAGATGAGAGCAGGTTCACCCTGAGCACATGTGACAGACATGAAAGCCGCGGACAATGTTATGCTGCCTGTAACATTGTTCAGCATGGCCGTTTTGGTGGTGGGTCAGTGATGGTCTGGGGAGTCATATCCATGGAGGGGTGTACAGACCTCTACAGACTAGACAATGACACCCTGAACGCCATTAGTTATCGGGATGAAATCCTTGGACCCATTGTCAGACCCTATGCTGGTGCAGTGGGTCCTGGGTTCCTCCTGGTGCACGACAATGCCCGGCCTCATGTGGCGAGAGTATGCAGGCAGTTCCTGGAGGATTAAGGAATTGATACCATTAAATAGCCCCCATGCTCGCCTGACCTAAATCCAATAGAACACCTCTGAGATATCATGTTTTGGTCCATCCGATGCTGCAGATTGCACCTTAGACTGTCCAAGAGCTCAGTGATGCCCTGGTCCAGAACTGGGAGGAAATACCCCAGGACACCATCTGTCGTTTCATTAGGAGCATGTCCTGATGTTGTCAGGCATGCATACAAGCATGTGGGGGCCATACAAACTACTGAGTACCATTTTGAGTTGCTGCAATGAAATTTCAGCAAAGTGGACTAACCTGCATCATTTTTTTCACTTTGATTTTCAGGGTGTTTTTGAATTCAGTCCTCTGTAGGTTGATAATTTTAATTTCCATCAAACAATGGGGCATCCTTACTTTCCTAACACATTACCCAGTGCATATCAGTATAGATATCCAGCATGATATTTTTCCCCAATGAGATCTGATGTGTTTTCAAAGTGTTCCTTTAATTTTTTTTGAGCAGTGTATTTTAACACATCCTCAGTAGGACAATGGAGAAGTCTATGACCACCAATTAAACGTTCCTTTACTGCAGTCAATACAGTGAATTATAATTTATAAATGGTTGTTTTGAGTTATGTTTTGCTTTGCCTGTGGAGTAAGGCTGATTGAAAATCTGTAACATAACCATTTTATAGCAGCTCTCGAAATGGCCAGCAAGGCCAGTTGATCTTTCTTATGATTCTATTGCTCTAAAGACTTATTCACATGGGAAGGAATATGTGGTTTGTTTATGCGGCTGGAGCTGTGTGCAGGCATCATATGTTATGTTATATGGAAGCAGTGGCTGTATGGACACAGCAGCAGTCTTTATTTGACTGGAATGCAGGGCAGGTGTGTGGCCCTGAATACACCCTGTCTAACAGGGCTGTCAATTAGGGTTGCCACCTCATCCCTTTAAAATCGAACACATATTAATTACACAGTTTCTGAGGCTAATTTAACACAGATAAGGCACTAAGTGAGTTTAATTACCACCTTAATTAGCCACAGAACCTGTTGAAATAATATGTGTTCGGTTTTAAAGGGACAAGATGGCAACCCTATTGTCAATCCAAAATTGATTTCATTGCAGCAACTAAATTCAACATTTTCACAGATACTTCATAAAATTTGAATTACTTGTACTTGATCTCTTATAACATTACATCAGAGACAATTAAGAGCATTACATATTAAATGCTTAATCAGAATACATCTTTAGCTTTCAGGCACAGACTTTGTTTTGTGGACTCTTGGGCTTTTATTCATTTCATATTTTATAGTGGCACAATAGTATTTTTTTTTTAATAATTTATAATTTTTAATAGCAGATTTCCAGTTTATTTGAAAGGGCTCTCCATGCACTCCCTCCAACACCTGCTTTTTTTTTGTTAGATCATACCTTTATCTTTGGGTCTTCTGGCTGGTCACATGATCTCCTCAGGTCCTCTTCCTCTTATCCCTGTGGCATTGCTCTTTAAAACTGTAGGGAGCACCACTAATGTTATACTTCTCTGTTTGCTTGATACAGTATTGTACTGTGAGCTCAGGATGCACCACCAGGGGGTGTGTCCATGACAGCCTGGGCTCATACGATGTGGGTTGAATGATGCTGGCTGTCATTGAACCCAGAGAGAGAACCTATGGAAGAGAGCAGAGCTCCTGTGGTGGACAGCACAAGTATAGAAATGAGAGTTGCATTTTTTATTTTTCAAAAGCTTTGGCAATTTATTAAAACTAAATAAAATTGGACATCTTTAAATTAGGGATTATGGTAAAGCGATTCCCAAGGGAGACAGCTAAATTTAGTTAAATACAATGATGAAATACTGTATAA